ACCCCAGGGATGGTGAAGACGTGAATCAGCTGGTAGAGAACAGTGTTTGAGAACCAACATGACCATGGGGGGCACTTCAGTGACAAGGGAATGTTAGAGGCCCTTAGGCGGGGTTACTATTGGCCCGCTATGTCTAAAGACGTCAAGTGCTGGGCACAGCAATGCAAGCGCTGTACACTCGCAAGAGACGTGTTCCCCAAGGCTCAGGCACCAATGACTTGCACCAATGTTGTCGCCCCTTTGGAGGTGCTGGCAATGGACTATACCCTTTTGGAGCCATCGGTCGGAGGGTATGAAAATGTCCTTGTACTTACTGTGATATGTTCACAAGGTTCACCATTGTGGTTCCTACCAGAGACCAAACAGCAAGAACAACCGCCAATGCAATCGTCAAGAATTGGTTTGTCTATTATAGCTGTCCTGCTAGACTACATTTCGACCAGGGCTGGAACTTTGAAGCCAGTGTCAATAAAGATCTCTGTCGGGTGTATGGGATTGCCAAGAGCCGGACGACTCCCTACCACCCCCAGGGAAACGCCCAGTGTGAGCGTTTTAACAGAACGATGCACGACATGCTCAGATCCCTCCCCACTGAAAAGAAAAGAAACTGGAGAGAACATCTCCCAGAGTTGACCCTGGCTTATAATAGTCATGTGCACTGCTCAACTGGGTATCCCCCTTTCTATCTGCTCTTTGGGAGGGATGCACGGCTACCTCGGGATGTATTGGGGGGTAAAGACCTGGAAGTGAGTGATATGGAAAACCTTGATGAATGGGTCCTGGATCATCACCAGAGACTGCAGACAGCTGCAGACGCAGCTTGGCGAACTGGACAGGTCAGACCCCTTCCTTGTGTTTGCACAGAACCACCCTGATATGCCAGTTTTCACCGTTAAGCCAGAGGCTGGCGGCCCTACGCGGGTAGTGCACAGGGACCAAATGAAACCTTGCACATTCGAGTGGCCCAGGTTGCAGAAAAGTCTCCGACCCCGTCATTCACATAGGGCCTCAGATGAGTCCATGTCTGAGGATGCTGATATGATTTATGTGCCACATCGCCCTGTCCCTGCCCCTCCTAACCAACAAATGCCTGGCACTCACCAGACACCTCACATGCTGCACGCACCCACCCACAGTACACCATGCAGAGACACTGACATAGGGGGGGGGGAGGAAATGGTGAGCATTCGGGTGTAATGGAAGACCACTGCACTGAAGTTGAGTCAGATGCATCTTTTTATGATGCAGACGAGTCAAGTATTGATGGTGATCAGCCTCTGCCTACTAGGCCTCAGAGAAGTTCTAGGGGTCAGCTCCCCTTAGATTAAAAGACTATGTCTTGAAATAAGTGTATGTTCTGTTTTGCTGTTACATGTTCATGTTCTTACCAAAATACGCTACTTTTGTTTATGCTTGATGTATGGTAAAAAAAAAATGAAGAGAAAAGCTTTCCGGACAGAAAAAAAAAGGAAAGCTCCCCGGTGGCACACCTGAACTATAGTGTGCAAGTGGACATTGATCAACATTGTCCAATGCTTTCAAAAAGTCTTGGTGGTGGCAGGGTTTGGAAGGGGGGAATGTGGGGAATAACGTGACGTGGCGCTCGGCCAAGGAGGGAGAGCGTCAGGTGTAGAGAGAGAGTGGAGACGTGGAGCAGAAAAGGACGGATGGGGAATTCCGACATGCAGCGGACGCCGACAGCCAGAGGAGTTTGGTGCAGTGAAGATATATGCCTGCAAGTAAACTTGTCTTAAGAAAAGTTTGGGTGTTGGAACCGTGCGAGTGGTGACAGCTGGCGAGCCGCGGCGAGAAGACTGCATGGGGTCCATGAACGTCGGTTCGCTCTGATCCGAACAGGTCGAACATTCCTTTCTCTACCCTCTCCCTTCTTCTCTTCTATGGAACTGTGAGTATACCCTGCCACCTGACTTCGCCAAAGGCAGCATTGCTTTAAAGAGTATTTTGCACCTTGGGGACAGAACTTTTGTGCAGCTGCGGGGCGGGGTCTCACCGAGCGGATAACCGGTATTCGATTTCAAGGAACTGTGCTTACAGTTGCGTTGGTGGACATTCGGGACGCCGTGACGTTATTGCTTATGTTGTTTTGCTGTGTTTATTCTAAGTGGTGGGGTGGGAGACATAAACATACCACACTCTCACAGGCGCATACTTCAAGTAACTTCTACCCTTCTTAAGCTACTACTAGTAGTATTAAATGATACAAGATATACATTTTCATGTAAGTTCAGGCGCTTACACAAATTCAATTATTTGGATTTTGCCTGCAAAATCCAAATAAGAACGGTAAGAACGGTTAATTTTGTCCAAACAGTTCCCCAGAAGCCTATCCGTGCATAGTAATTATCTCTATAATACAGCCCGACTGATTCATAACCAAACTGTGGTTATAAAGACCCTGCACAGCTTGTACCATTAACACACTGAATGGTCTCTAATGACAGATCCATGAATCAGCCCAGAGGGCTGTGAGCCTAGTGTGGAGAGGGTCCAGGCTGCTGCAGTGAATCAGCACATCGCTGCTCAAACTCGCACTGAGGTGAAGGATCATCAGCTGGCAGCTGCCTTCCAGTAGATCCTCTCTTTTAAACATGCGCTCACAGGCACAGACATTTAATTTCACTTTCTCGCAGAGGAACTGTGAAAGTGTAGGTAAAGTAGCTTCACTATTGCACCTATTCCCCTTTGTCCTCCTTTATCCTTCCATCACAAACTCGCTGTTTGTAGTGTCAGGGGACCTTGGGCTCCTTTATGTTGTAATCCCAAAGCTATTTAAAGGCACACTATGCAACATTTTTCAGTTAATTAATGTGTTCCATAACGTTTTGGATGATTAAATGAGTCATTTCAGGTTGAACAAAGGTATTCTCGGCCGCCCTGGTGGTCTGTGGGGGAAATACCGCACTTGCAATTGCAGGAGCACCGACCCGCACCCACAGGCTCAGAAGTCTCGCGAGAGTCAATCTTGCTTTACGGCGAGAACTGCTACACACGAATTGAGCAGGAACCTTGCTGATGAGTAAATTAGGTATTAGTTTGATTTGCAGGGTGCCTCACAGTTATTTAACAAGATTGCTTTGTGATTAATGTTCACAACCATGTCCAATAGGACATACAGCTACTCAAAAATAAGATAAGAACAAGGTACACAAAAAAAACCCTTTAAGAAATGTTCGCTTAATTGAAAAGTATGTTTAATATCAGCTTATTGTTTGTTATTTCTCAAAAGGCAGTTCTAACCTGATAAAACAGCAAAATGAAAGTAGTGCATTTTCTAATCAATTAAATATGAATGTATATTTGCTTTATAATCATCCTAGTGTTTTGTGTGCATTTAGTTTCCTCCAGTCTTCCTGGAATAATTAAACCTGAATTTTGAGAAATATGTAATTTTTTTTCTTTCTTCCAGACTGAGTATGATTTCTACGTCCATAACCTGGTGGACTCCCAGTCCTCAAAAGGAAATATGGTAAGAAAAACTATGTATATATTTATACCAAAATATAAATCTAAAACACTGATTAAGACAGTATCATTTTTGGCTAATTGCCATGGATAAATGAAAGTCTACAGATTCTGTTGTACATGAGGTGTAAAATGTAAAGAAAATGTTGGACTAACATCACATTTAAAAAGTCAAAAATCACTTTTTTAGGAGGATGTTTTGTAACATTAGAGTAAATTATTGAAATCTAAAATGCCTTTACGTTTTACTGGCGGACAGTTTTAATGAAAATGAGAAACAAAACTTGTTAAGGGTTTTTTAACATGTGGAGAGTAAACAAATCAGAAGCATAAGTATACCTACATCTCATGTATTTTTTTTTTAATTCGTTAAATCTTCATATATTTTAATGAACAACCAAGAGATTCAAAATAAAATTTCCAACAAGCTGGTGTGATATTCCTACACAAAGCAAATAACATAAAATGGCAGCATAACAATACAGGGAAGCTTTTCTCTAACCATTTAGTTCAGATTTATTCAGTGTACGTTTTTAAGATAATTGAATACAATAAAGATTCAATAGAAAAACCAACATTTAGCTTCACTGGCCAGACATAGTGTACAGTAATATATATATTTTTTTACAATGCTTTCATTATGTATGTCACATAGGGTGGTTGTTTCCTTTTCAGAGGACTGGCAATCAAATAATAGAAAACTATGCTGGGGACATCCCAACCTGGGTGGGAAGCCAAATTGGCCATATTGGAATCCAGCACTGCTTCCAGAAAAACACAAAACAGAAATTATAATAATCAATAAAATGGTTTTATTGTGGTTCTTGTACTACTAAATATTCAGCCTTAAATATGGCTAAGAATCTCTGGGAAAGTTTTCAAACGACCGACACATCTTTGCAGTCAAAGTGGGTTTTAGAAAGCGATAACACATGCAGAATTTTAATAGTGCAACATATAAGATTTTTAAATAAAAAAAAAAAAAGTTGAAAAGTTGAATTTGAATTATAGTTTAGCAAGGAGCTGTAAATAATTCAGTTGTCTTTTGTGGTTTTGTTAGGTTTTTTTTTTGTTTTCTTGTGTTGCAGTCGCTGCAGACTGAAGTGAAACAGTTTGGAGAGATTGCAATAAGTGATAAAGCCATGGACGAGGCAGAAAAAAAAGCTTGGAGGCTAGTGGAAAAGACAAGAAGAGCTCTGAGGGATTACAAGTGGTACCGTTTATTTAACAACAAAAGACCAGAAAATGTTTTCTAGTTTAAAGTTCTCGCAGCTTAACTCTATTTATTGTTTCTCAGAGTCCAAGATGAGCTGACAAACCTTTTAGCCGCAAGAGACCAAGAACAAAATAGCATAAAAAGTAACTGTTACTGCAACCTTTGCATACGTGATCATTGGTAAACCACATGTAAAGATTTGCTGTATTCTATAGCCTCCTGCAGAGCAAGCAGGAAGCAGGCTGACAGTGAGAGAGAACTAAGCTTGGTGTTGTGCTTCACTGCCTGAGCTCTTCCTTCTTTTGAAACCTGACTGAAGACACTTCACTTGGTGGAGATCTACCTCTTCTTGAATTTTAGCCAGCTGGTCAACATGTTGCTTCGGACTCCTGCCCTGCTCCTCCTCTGTGTGTCCATGGGCATGAGTGCCACTTTGGGTTACTACCAAACTGAAGCCACTGAAGAGGGGGAAGCTACTGCTTTAAACACCCAAGCTGCTCCTCTAGATTCTGCTTTGAGTGATAAAATATCAGCATATGATCAGGGAGCTGACCTACCTGAAGTGGACCAAGCCAAAGGGTCAGACACAGACAGGGATACTCCTGATGGAGACTCTGCTACTATTGAAGCTCTTGCAAAGAAAGCTGTTGCCAAGGAGCAGCTTCCATCTGAAGAGGAGGCTAATGAGATCTGGCCCGTCCAGACAAACAAAGCTTTGAATAAACCCCTGGAACAAGATGATGCAAGCAGCTGGAGCCTCAACTCCATAAGAGATAGCTTCCAAACTGTGCACAGATACTTTGACTCCCTGGTTGAGCTGGTCGGGGGATACAATGGTGTCTGTGAATACCACTGTAGATATGGTAAGGATCAATCTTGCACTCTTACTTTATATTAGTTTTGGTTCCCTCAGAGGTATTAACAATATTTTTCCCTGAACTCCAAAAATTCTGTTGCAAAAACACAGAAAACCTTCTGTTCTCATGTTTTATGTCCTCACACATATTCAACAAGGTTTGTCCTTTTGAACCTTTGAATTAAAAGCATTTGTTGAGGGGCATGGGTCATTTTTGTTATGCAATCAATGTAGATGCTTTCAAACCAGAGTTGCAGACTATCTTACATCAGAAGAGAACTTAACCTCTTCATAACATGAGGACCCAAATAACAGGCAAGATGGTTTTTAGACCTGTAACATATTCTCTGGGGTCTTGCCTTTATTTTGATACCAAAACAATTAAAATAAACTCTGTAGTTCTTGAGATATATTCAATTGATTTTGGGCATGTTATTTTCAAGCATATTTCTAGAAAACAGGCCTAGTGTCCAAGAGGTGAAGGATGTTTTTATTCCAGGTGGATCATCAAAATAAGTGGTCCTCCTAATAGTCAGTCATTCTGGTGATATGTTGCGTAAGGCCGTTGTGCTCAACCCCATTTTCTCTTACCGGTAGTGAGTCTGACATAGTGGAAAAACTGCAAATCTTCTTTTGGAAGACGCAAATAGCAACTTTTAAACAGAGCATGCACCAGGAGAAATGGATTGCATGCTCTTGCATGCGTTTAATAGGCATTTCCTCTCGGGAGTGGGTACAGTGTTGTGCATGTAAATTTTTGGAGTGCGGGTCTTTTAAAAAATTTGTGAAAAATTAACAGAACCAAGATCAGATTTTTATTTAGGGATTATCAATGAAAAAAGATGGGGCATATACATTTGAATGACACATTTCTAGTGCTTTATTGAAAATATGTAACTTTGATATCCATGCATCTTTTTAATTTCACTTAAAAGTCATGCACTTATCTGTTCCATTCTACTAAATCACAGTGATACATGGAGGCCTAAGGTTTAATTTTGTAAGAAGTGTTTGCTAATCCTAAAGCTTAACAGAGTCTGTTTGCTTTCATAGGAGAACTGCAACTTTCTCGGCCTGACTACAAGCACCAAGAACCCAATGGCTGCAGCTCTTCGCTGGTGGAATTGCAGGTGAATGCTGCTGTAGGTGGCCTGCTCATAGCACCATCCTAAAAAATGTAATTTTACCCCAATAATACCTTGTAGAGTGGTGAACCATGATGAAACATAGTTCTTTCTTATGGCAGCTTGATGTGGGAATCCCTGCAATGACAAATTGCTGTAACCAGCTGGATATGTGCTACGACACCTGCGGTGTGAACAAGTACGACTGTGATGCCAAGTTTCGCTCATGCCTTCATGGCTTCTGCTCTGACCTGAAGAAGAGTCTGGGCTTTGTTTCCAAAGTACAAGGTGACAAACTCCTTCAATCAGCTTGTGAATCTATGGCAAATGCTCTCTACAACACAGTGTGGACTCTGGGTTGCAGGCCTTACATGAACAGCCAGAGGGCATCATGTGTCTGCAAGGGAGAGGAGAGGGATGAACTGTGACAGACAGAACACTGTACTTCTCAAAAATAACAGAGTAATGGATGTTTCTGCATATTACCATCCCTTTCATATGACCACTCAGGAAATGTTCAGAGTATCTGAAGTGGGATTTGGTCAAAAGGCTTAAAGAAGTAAACAACTTTTGGTGACTTTACTAGACATGAATCCAGATTAGTTGGATCTAGAGACTGAAGCGTGCATTTAGCCCAAATATAACTGAGCTCAAGACAGAATCCCTCTGCTTTATATCAAACCCAGTCTCTAAAATAGCCAAGCTATTTATGCCAAAGGATATTTGGACAAAAAATGTAAGTTTTTGTTGAGTTTTATTTAAGTAAACTGCAGCAGTTCTTATTCCTTTAATGGAGAGGTGTCATAGGGCATTCATTCTAAGTGCTACAGTATGGAATCCGGTACCATTGGCAGATTATTGCAAACAGTTTCAACTAAAAATGTTCATACATATTGTATTAGCAGAGATTAACTGTTTAAACTTTCACAAGGAGCTACTGTTAAACCTATCATAGTTATTTAGGGTTAACAGAGATGGGAAGTAACGAAGTACAAATACTTCTTTACTGTACTCAAGTAGATTTTTCTGATATTTTTACTTTACTTTACTACTTATTTTTAGGGTGACTTTTTACTTCTACTCCTTACATTTTTACACAAATATCTGTACTTTCTACTTCTTACATTTTAAAAAATTGGCTCGTTACTTTAGTTTTGAATCATTTCAATGGAGTTACTGTTATTATTTTTCATGTCATCAATACCAAATTCAATCTAATTGGATGGGAATCCACGTTGCATTTGATGCACCACTACAAGATGAATCGACAGATTCGGCAGTATTCATTCGCGGCGAATCATTGCAGCTTGGTGGCGGTGGCGTTAGCATAGTAGTATGGACGACGAGATGATTGAAAATGAACACAACGGAGATCTAGTCCTATTGGCAGACATCCATTTAAAATGTAGGCAATGGCATTAAAAAAGTGGTTTCTACTTTTACTTTTATACTTTAAGTAAATTTACAAGCCTGTACTTTGTTACTTTTACTTGAGTAAAGAAGTTTAATCAGTACTTCCACTTTTACCAGAGTATTTTTTAACACAAGTATTTGTACTTTTACTCAAGTACGGAAAGTGAGTACTTTTGCCATCTCTGAGTCAAACTGATACAAAGTTTTCTATCTAAGGAAAACCAGTTGATTGCATTGACTCATTGACTCAAATACAATCCCTCACACTAAGCATGCTTGTAGCGACAGTGGAGAGGAAAAACTCCCTTTTACAGGAAGAAACCTCCAGCAGAACCAGGCTCAGTGTGAGCGGCCATCTGCCGAGGCCGACTGGGGTTCAAGGAGACAGAAGCAGAGACACAAAAAGCAGCTGTAAAAGGCGGCCGGTTCAGGAAACACACAGCCAGGCAGACGAGCTCCGAGCCAGCTCCCATGCCAGAGGACGAAGAGAGCACATCCACTCAGTCACGATCAGAGAAACAGGACCACACTGGAAAACACGCCGATCTCCAGCATCTATAAAAAAGGGTGTTGATGGAAGCAGCACAGCTGATGTTTCTTTCCAGGATGGCGTCACAGCCAAACAGGAACAGACGAGGCAAAGCTACTCTGAGGAAAAGCAGAGAGAGCAGAAGGTTAGAGATTGAACTAACAGATTCTGCAGAATAGGAGAATAGAGAGAGAACGAAGCAGAATGATGAAAAAGGGGTCCCTATGTCCTCCAGACGTCTAAGCCTATAGCAGCATAACTATAGAGATAGCTCAGGATAACCTGAGCCAACTATAAGCTTTATCAAAAAGGAAAGTTTTAAGCCTAGCCTTAAAAGTAGACAGGATGTCTGCCTCACGGACTAAAAATGGTAGTTGGTTCCACAGGAGAGGAGCCTGATAACTAAAAGATCTGCCTCCCATTCTGTTTTTAGAAATTCTAGGAACCACTAGTAAACCTGCAGATTGAGAGCGAAGTGCTCTGTTAGGAACATAAGGAACAATCAGATCTCTGATATAAGATGGAGCTTGGCCATTTAAGGCTTTATATGTGAGAAGGAGGATTTTAAATTCTATTCTGGATTTAACAGGAAGCCAAGGAAGAGAAGCCAGGATAGGAGAGATATGATCTCTCTTTTTCATTTTCATTAGAACTCTGGCTGCAGCATTTTGGATCAGCTGAAGGCTTTTAACTACAGTTTGTGGACTTCCTGATAGTAAAGAATTACAATAGTCCAGCCTTGAAGTAACAAATGCATGGACTAGTTTCTCAGCATCACCCCTGGACAGGATATTTCTAATTTTTGCAATGTTCCTCAGATGAAAGAAGGAAATTTTAGAAACCTCTTTGATATGGGTTTTAAATGACAGGTCCTGATCAAAAATAACACCAAGATTTTTTATGTTATTATCTGAAATCAGTTTAATCCCATCCAAATGAAGTGACTGGCTAATGAGCTTCTTTTTCAGAGACTCTGTACCAAAGACTATAACTTCTGTTTTGTCTGCATTCAGAAGCAGAAAGTTAAGAGTCATCCAGATTTTTATGTCTTCAGACATGCCTGTAATCTATGTAATGGGTTAGCTTCATCTGGATTTATAGACAGATATAGCTGGGTATCATCAGCATAACAGTGAAAATTAATCCCATGCTGTCTAATAACTCTACCAATTGGGAGCATGTATAAAGTAAAGAGAATTGGTCCTAGCACCGATCCCTGTGGTACTCCACAGGTAACCTATAATAATTCATAGATGTGATTTCCCTCTGAGTAAATTTTTGTAGAAAATACAAAATAAAATGACTATCACCTGTAAAAGTGAAAAATTAAAAAGCTTCTACATAAAGGCATCTATTGATACCCAGAAATGTTCTAGCTGTATAAAGGATACGTTTGCTGACAGTTTAAAGATTAATAAAATAGTCTGAAATTCCAACGACATGTAGGGATTACGTTTTTTCTT